AAGATTCGCCGACGTAGTATCCTGACCGAAATTGTGCGGTAAAACGGTCTCCGTGAACAATGTCGAAGTCGCTTTAACTGTCTGACAAATCACGCCGACTGAACTGTCGTTAAACACGCTAACGACACCGACTATGGTAATCGAGCTACCGTATACGACGATATCACTGGACACGAAAGCGCGATCAAGCACGAACCAATTTCGCGCAGACAAATCGAACGTTTGTAACAAAGGCTAGACTTCTTCTTATGACTTGTTTGATTATACAAATTATACTTCTCGAGAAATATATGTATGTTGAATTAATCCTTTGCTAAGGTACGAGATAAGTTTCTGCTTCCGAATATCGTTGCGATGCGAGCCAGCAGTCTACACCCACGTTTACATGTCAGATTGGAAACATCAGGCGGCACCTTAAACACAGTTAATTAACCGAAAGCGAAAGTGTTATCATCAAACACTGAATTACGACTGGCAAGCGGGACCTAATTGGTTTTAAGAGACGACCGTCTTCTCTCTTACTCGATAAAAGCTACTTACAAACTCTGGTCACTTCGTCCTCTCCCATAAGAAACGTCGATTAATTGTTTGTTATCGATCGTATAACCGCTTGATAATGAATCGTTATTCGGAACTTCGATGTTTCTTTCTGCCGCTTGCCAAGAAAATTTTCAAAGTGATGAAACATAAGTGTGAGGATTCTCATTTAGCGATAAAAAGAATCATTATGCAAAGAGCGAGAACTTATCCAAATAATCTTGTCAGTCGCATAAACTTATCTTTATTATAAAGATAATTAACCAATCGCCATTTTTGTGTGCGTTCTTATGATAGAAAGGTTATTAGATAATTTTCTTTACGCATAGATATAACTTATGCGGTCATGCAACTTCGACTGGATACATCCTTAGGGTTATAACACACAATAAATATAATATAGCTATAGCATAAGATCGTCTGGACCAAAAATGAGCATGTTATATAAATCCAGAGTTGGAAAAGTTATTTTACAAGTTACTTACAAGTTACTTACAAATTATTTTTTATTAGAAATTGAGTACAATAAATTCAGGTATTTAATTTTTTATATTATATTAATTTTATTATTTTAATTATTATTTTATTATTTGCTCCAATTTTGTATTACTTTTTCCTGTTTAAATCAATATGGCAATTTTATGCGATTCAGATAGATTTTATGCTGTGCTTATTGTATGTTGTGTGTTTACAGATAATAATATATCCTTAATAATATAATAAACAACGATCAACATTCGTCAAGTAAAAATTATTAATGCAATACCTCAAGAATATTCTCAATTCTTGGTTGTGGATTTTTTCTCGTTGCCTCAATAGTATATAATGACGGGTGATCTTATATTCTAATGTTGCTCCTGCTAAAGAGATAGGCACTCGTGTTTTTTTTACAGAAATACAATGGTCGGTGGGTATCTATTTACGTTACCAACGCCTCACGTGGAAACGTTTCCATCATCTCGTTCGCTCCAGAGAATTCTGTCGGAGCTTTGCGAGTCCGGATTCTTGTATCGCGCGTGTGTCCGACCATTCCGCGAAAGAAGGTAATTACGAGTGGATTACGAGAAAGAAGGAGAACGAGAGAGAAAGAAACCATATTGGTACGCAGTGACCGCTAAACTAGTATGCCGCGATAATAGAACGAAGTATAATAACCGCTATGCGATTATTGTCCTAATAAGCACAAACGATGACGCAAGAAAGCCTTTCGCGCGCAAGAAATAAGAGGCCAATGTAAAGCCGAAGCTCGTATATTACGCGATTGGCCGCGAGGTAGGACCGAAATGGGAGTCGGATGCGATATAGTGGAAAAACAGTCCTTTTTTCCTTTTATGATGCTCGTTGGATCGTCATAATTACATCGCCATTCGACGCCTGTCAACGTGCGCAAAGCAGTCGTGAGAAATCAATCGTGAGTATCCGTGCAGTCTCGTAATCATAAATCGTATATAAATTGCAATCATTACGCATTGCGTGTTATTGCGTGCTCTATAATCGCATGGATTGTTGATTAAACCGTGAGATATCTGCATAAAACATGCACTTCTCGTAAATCACGAGGAATCGAGATTAATCGTCGCTGCTAATGAATTTCTAATCCCTCAGATTTCTTCCCCCACATTCCATAACACACATTTTTCCACATTCTATAATCTGATTCCATTTAAGACTATTAAAAGTCTTCTATCATTTATATATAGATATAGAGCTAATTACTTTAGGCTCGAGATATTGCGGTTTGCTTGATACACATTTTGACGTTTACAGATCGATAAGGAATCGCAAATGAACGCGTAATGAGATTATTATTTGGATCGCTTGCGATTACCGGGTGATGGGATGTATTTCTGGACGAGGAGTGGCGATAAAGGACGGGCGTAAAACGAGGAGGGGTGGGAAAAGGGGATGCATAATGGGATAATGTTCGCTCGATGGCCCTTTTACCCTTTAACGATGATTCCTCCGGTTTCCAGCAAATTGTGCGGAAGAGGGGTCCGGCCGACAGTCAACGAGACGAAGAGAAATACTCAGTTCATTTCGTACTTTGATAAAAATTTGACAGATTCTTCAGGTATTCCATGCTACTTTCACATTAGAAAAATGCGCTCCCATAGACTAGCTAGCACTCATTCGTGTGTATTTGTATAAATATCACTTATTGTTAAATGCACGCGATCCTTCGATCCAGCTCAGACGAGGCGTAATGAGAGGGTCTCTGAAGCGTATTACTCGTGTTATTTAGCAGTAAATCAAAGTTGGAAACGTAAACCGTTATATCGTACGCTGATTATCTAATCATCCCTCGCTTCGGGATTGCATCGAAATAAGTATGTTGGTTTTGATGATTATGTAAAAATAAATGCAGGTTTATTCGACAAAGATGAGATATGATTTTGTGATCTGCGAACGATTTGAAGTTCATGTCCGCGAGATTGTATTCCGTTCTTAGGTATTCATAGTCTGTTTTAAAATTGTCTCAAGATACTAAGCTATCTGATTGGTTCATGATATCTTAAGATTGTACTTAAAACGGTCTTAAATATAAGTTCTGACTATGAATACCAATCTTAATCTCCTAATTAATTCGACGAATAGCTTGGACGAAATCTATGGGGGACGTAATCGCGGGAATTGCATCGCCGAAGTATATATGCTAAATTCACTTCAGCATTTGATTTTCTCCGTGAAGATCGCGTTCCAATCCATTAGCAGAACCGTCGCAGAAGTCGAAGGCGGCGATTCGTTTTTGCGATATCTGGTACACAGGTTGCGTATCTAAGCGGCAGATCCTCCGCTCCTTTATTGGTCTCGTGAAATTGGTAATGTCGTGTACTTTCTCATTACGTATGCAAATACACGCACGCACGGGGCATTTAGCGTAATTTCTCTTTACTCGCGCGCTATTACTACAAGTGAGATAAGCGCTTAATGACTTCGACAGCTGCCTATCGGGCATAATAGAAGGGCGGAACGAACTGATGTTAAGACGATGAGTGATGTTCAACGAATATAAATTACGATATCGTCTGGTCTCGAAAACTTCCTCCTCTCTACAGAGTCGTCGGTAATATCATCAATGTTATAATAATTCAGACATATGAATGAGAAAAGGTGATTTGATTATACTGATCAATAATGATTTTGTTAAATAGTAATACATGATGTGTATTTTCGATGCTAATTCTGAAAAAGAGATTAAAATTTATCTTATGGATTTCAATTTTTTTGTAATCGACACATCTCTTTTTAAAAACTTATATTGTTTTGCTAACAACTCATTGTGTGAGGTCTTTTTTTTAATTAAAATGATTTATTTTTATTTGTAATCTTTTATGACGAATATAGAACCGGTAAAATACAATAGTTATTTCCTATGAATAATTTAATTATGTCGAAGTAGAAGAGATAAGTAAAGGAATTTTGAAATGCATGTTACTCAAAAACTCTCTCTATCCATTCGATAAATACATTAGAAAATAGTATAAAACGCTATACTATAAGATTAGTATTATATTATATTATATTATTATATTATTATATTATTATATTATTATATTTAATAAAAATAAAATTTTGTCGACTAATGATGTTAAAAAAATTCCGTAATAGTTTATATTAAAAACAAAAATAGAAAAGAATAAAGGTCAATAGAATGGCAAGCACTTTGACGTAACATGTCAAAATATTAAAATATTGATAAGACAGGGCGAAGTTATTCCGTCAGTTTCAACCTTAAAGTAATATAAAATTTACGTCAGCAAACAATATCAAACATTATAACTTTGTAGTGATGCGCTTACAACTGCCTTATACTATTATGATTACTTCTTGAGAGCATGAATCACAAGCATGAACTTTACGTGTTCAGTATATGCTATTCAGAAACATAAACCCTATTGCGAGAAATAGACGAAAAAATTTATTCTTTACCTTTTACGTATATATATTTAAATTACATTACTAAAGCGGTACATTTCGATTTAACTGACAATGAATTTGCTTTAGCTTCGCTAATACAAATCTAACAAATATGACACATCAAATTCTAATAGTAATGAAAATCATGTGTAAATTGTTTGAAAAATGTAGAGTTAAAAACATCTTTATCCTTTAAGCATGAATAAATCAAAAGAATTCATAACAATATATTATATCAGTGATTTGAAAAATTGTGACGTATCAGAATAGTAAAACAGTCATAATAATACTATAACAATTAATTACGTGTTAGGCGTATTTCAAGTAATTTTTTTAGAAGTGATAAAAATATGTCCCTTTAAATTATACATGTCTATTTAACTACGATTTTCTTGAAGATATCGATAGCCTTTTCAAATTAAGCTTCTATCTACCAAGAATAGAAACACGTAACGAATACCCGACGTTGACGTAATAGCGATAGAATGTCGCCAGCAATGTCCGAAACGTCGCTTATCAATGCTTCTTTTTTTTTCCTGATATAGTGGCTGGACCGTTTCCAAGGCGGATCGGTCATCCCTATCAGAACCGGACACCACCGAAGAGGAAGAAACCAAGAACGAGCTTTACCAGGCTGCAAATCGCGGAGCTGGAAAAACGCTTTCACAAACAGAAATATCTGGCTTCCGCCGAGCGGGCGGCGTTGGCGAAGTCGTTAAAGATGACGGACGCGCAGGTGAAGACCTGGTTCCAAAACAGGCGAACGAAATGGAGGTAAGCTCTCGCGATATTTTCATTGGCAACGCCACACATTTTACGCAGTTTTTGAGGAAAATCGCGTAAAATTCTCTCTTCATGGAGCATCTCTCTTTATCGGTATTTTTATTTTGACCTTTATTAAAGACAATTTTTGTCGAGGAACAATTGTTACCATGGCGATTGAACTTTTTGGAAGAAAATACGAGTCAAGAATTGCGTTCTCGGAATGTTAATAGCGGGTTAGCCGTGGCCTGACGCCTATATCTGTAAACGCATTGCCAGTCAAATGTATTGGAGCCTCTTCAAGATAAGAAAGGACGAAAACATGTCATTTAGATAAGAGAGGGCTCGTTCGTAGCGCGGGTCTCCGATATTAGGGGCATCTCGGCGACGAGACGAGGCCTTGGCGACATTCTCGAGGATACAATATACTTGCCCGATTCCTTTTCTTTCCAATGTTCTTTCGTCTCTAAAATCGTTATCATGAAGTCCTTTTGAATCGTTCTACGAAATGCCATGATAAAGCGGTAAACTTGCGAAGAAGCTAAACTGCCGGAGAGACGACTCGATAGTTCTTAAACAAGCTACGATTGTTAGATCTTTCCAAGACTCTATTTAGCCTTCGAATTCTATTTTCTATTCTTACTTTGTAAGTTTCATTTTTAACATTTCGATTATTACCGTGAAAAAGAATCGTTCGTAGAATTTTTCTTAAGAAAGATTAGAAATCAAAAATTCTTTTAAATTTTAACGAACGTTATTTACAACACTTACAAAAGTGTCATCGCACCGTGTCGTAGCTTAAAACAACATTGGGCTTAAATATGAACATTTTCTAATTTTATTTGCGATAATTTCATTTAAGTCTTGCAAATTTAGTTACAACTATTATTCAATTTGGATTCACTTTTAGATATCAAAGCGATTTAAAATTACAGCTTATAAATATGATTTTTTTTTTTTTACTTGTGTTTGTTGAAATGTGTGTTACGAATTGTATAATGGAAATAAATTCGCTTAATTCGTCGTTCTTTTTTAGAACTTTAACATTTGCATAACTCCGACATTCTAACAAACATGAATCATATATATTTATTTTGATCTGTATTCTCTCAGATCAGGCGAAAGTTTCGAGACTTGCGTGTCGTACACATGTGAAGACGACCGAAAAGTTTTTTCGTCGTCGCGAGAAGAGAGTAGAAATTCAATTTGGAATCCGACGACACGCATTATCTGTCTCGGTACGCTCGGAAATGTTATCGCTGTGACAGGTACATTTGTCTAGAATGTTACGACGAGTTAACTTCACGTCGGAGTGACAAGTACATCATTTTTAATTAAAGACGCACGCACGACAGGGTAATCATGCGCGCGATCAATAACGCATCACCGCACGCACGACAGACTTTTCCACTTCGATTTTTTTTTCTCTACATCATGATGGAAACGAGAGAAAAAGAGGCAAGAGGGAGGAAGGGGAGGAAACTTGGTTTTTCGAAATTTTTTTTAATTTTTTCTTCCCTTTTGTGAAGATCTTACATTTTGTACAATTCGCGGTGGTTCAAGTTTAGCCTTTTGCAAGCCTATGTGAAGTTGAATTAATTAAATTTAAATACACATAGCGTATCGAATAATTTTTCAAATTTTTATTTGAAAATGATTATTGAACAATAGTACAATATACAACAACATAGTTACAATAACGTCAAAATGATATTAAAATGAATCGGAAATGATGGAAAAATGACTTTTAATGATCATTTTGGAATCATTTTGATATTATAATGGCTAGTTGGCAATATTTTTGAAATTCCTCCATAAATTAGTAATAAAAATTCTTTGATTTATATTCGATTATAGATTAAATAAAGTTGAGGATGAAATACTCGATCACATCGTTCATTTACGCGAAATAGTTTGGACCACAAAGGGTTAAGTGTGTCTGACAAATAAAATCGTAGAAATTCGTGGGGGCACGCACAAACGTCGACGTAAGTCTCGATGTGACGCGGTGTAGTACGGTCCAGCGTGCAGCTGCGTTTAAAGTAACGAGATGACTGTAGGCAGAGATGAGATAACTTGGTTTCAATAATTCAGGTACCTAACAGCTTAGCCCTGTCCCGTACATAATGTAGTCTCTTCCCTCCCATCGCGCACATCGGGCACTCTCTTACCCTCTCCCTCCCCCTTTGCCTACCATCGGTCGCCTTCTTGCTTTGACTGCCAGTTCTCCGCGCGTTTCCCCGTCACCTCTTTCAGCCCCCTACACCTCTTCGCCGAGAGCTTCTTGGCTTTTAAACTGTCAAACGCTCGAATCCGTTGGCTGAATCGTTTCGATCTCTGCCGGGCCCGACCGACCCCACCGATTCACCTCGTTAAACATTCATCGGTTACGGTGTAGGACTAGGCCGGTAACCGTTCAAACACGATTCGCAGACTCGACGCGATATATCGCGCGCGTAATGCAGTAGATAGCGCGAGAGGAATCAATCGGCACGTATTCGCGATTCGGTATGATTAGAGTTTCATCGATGATTCATTCCATTTACTATTATCTTATTGGGGCTGATGTTTATTCAAATTCAATTGTTTCGTGGAAAAGTAATGTACATAAAAATAATTCACACTTTAAGATTAGAAACAGGACCGCTTATATGAATACATCGGATAACAAAAGGCACGACGAATATGCAACTTGTGTTAGTTGTTAATAAAATGTAAATAATAATAAAAATTACAAGATGCAACTGATTAATTAGAAAGAAAGAATCGTGAGGGTGTGCTTTATTTCGTGCGCGTTGCGTTGGGGGTCTGAGCGTGCGCTGAAGTATAAAGATAAGAGTAATGTGTCCCAGGTTGCGAGAGAATACGGTTATGCCGGCCGCAGCGAATAGGGCGAGGCTGCGTCGGGGCTGCAAAATGTAATCGGCACGGTGCCGTCAATTATTAATCGCTAACCGCGTTAATTACTTGCAGCGGCGTAGGTGCACCTGTCACTGCAGCAATGGCGTAGCCACAATGGATTCCGGAGACGGGCGCGGACGAGCAAGATTCAATTGTCCTAATAAAAGCTAATAAAAGTGACAACGCGCTAAATCTTGTCCGTTTTCTACTTCGTTCCCGCCTCCCATTTCGTGGTAATGTCCGATGATCTTAATGTCGATGTAACTTAATTCCAGACTTATTATTTGAACTGTGATTTGTTCGCGATAATATAACGATGAAGAAAATCTATATATGACAGACCTGGAAAACCGAAAAAAGTTAGAGAAAATTGGAATTGGTCATGGAAAACCGGGAAAAGTCAAGGGAAAATGTAAAAAAGTTTGGAATTTTGAAATTTGCTCACAATTTCCTTAAACTGCTCCTATTCCAGATAATTGTTATAATTTTTTAATATTATATCTGACGTTTATAGTGAAATACGTTCAAAACTCGCACACTTTAAACGATTTTAATAAAATTTATATTTTATTCATTATTTTTATTTGATCGTCTTTTTTCGTAACTGCATTCTTTTTTCCAATACTATATTATTTTTTATTAGCTTGAATTTGCACCCAAAATTTTAGTATGCTACTAACCTTTTTTGCATTGTTTTTAATAATATAGGCTAGCTTTCCTACAATTCTTAACTTTAAATGTGTTAAAATTTACATATTTTATATTGGAAAATTTTTCATTTTCATCTGGAAAACCTGGAAAAGTCAGGGAATTTTTTAATTTATTTTCTGTGACAACCCTGTATGAATAAAAAATTTCTGTATTAGATTTTTTTTTTGTAAAAATTATCCGTATCTTTCCACTCATTTGAATATGTAAGCACCACTTTCATCGTGAACTCGTTTGAGAGATAAAGCGATTCGTTTTTTGCTTAGTAGTTGCTCGTTAAGAAGATCAATCTGACGATAAACTACGGGAGTTACAAACGTCGAAGTGGGTCGAGGGAATCGGAAAATAAATTTCGAAGGCGAGCGATCGTCGGCGGCACCGGGTAGCTTGTTTACTCGTACATCGGGTGAAGAAAATTACAGGAAGTTGTTGAGCCGCGTTGCTCAACTCGCGGCCAAAAAGGTGGGCAAAAAGAGGGTCAACGAGATAGTACCTGCTCTGCGATAGGCCGGAACGCGATGTAATTCGTGAGGAGGACACGAGCGCTCGCCACCGGTCTTTAGAAGATCCACGAGCATTACGCCAGAAGGAACCAGTTTTAGGAAATTATAACGATCACGACGCAGGAAAACATTGGGATCAAGTCGAATTCAACCGGTCTTACCGCACGCCCAGTTCCCGATTCATCCTGTCACGGAAGCACTGATGAGAAACTGCGACAGTCGAAACTGTGCCTGGATCCTAATCTCGGGATAGAAACTTTTAGTGATTTAAAAGAAACGTTTTTATCAATGGACTCAAAATTTAGAAATACGATTCTAACAAATGATGTTGTATCTAAGATACCATGGGTATTCGTAGTCAGTTCTTATTTCATATATTAGGTGTAGTAAAAAGAAATCCATTATTTTTCCAATAGATGGGTTTAGTAATCTGCTTTAGTAATCGCGAATGCGAGATATAGATTACTAAAGCCATCTATTGGAAAAATAATGGATTTCTTTTTATTAATATAATTGTCTTAACTTTCGATACCATTCCATATCGTTTTGTAACGTATTTATCACACCTTTTTTTCAATCAGATATTAAGGAATATAATAAGAAAATATATATATTTTTGTCAATAAAAATGTTATAGCATAGCAAAGTTCAAGAAATTCAAGAAACCTCGAATATGCCATACTAAGAATGGCATCGGTAACGTAATGTCTTAAGCCATTTTTTCACTCCATCTAATTAGAAATATGGATTTTTTCATTTTTTTTATATGAAAAAAAAGTTCAAAGATTTGTAAAAGGTAGAAAGAAATGGATTAAAATGCTTAGTCTGTGGTTGATTTATGACTGTATTTTATGACTGTATTTAAGACGATTTTAAATATAAGAATCAACTATATGAATACTAGGCATGAATTCGCTATTCGACGCTGAGTATTCGTGCGCGCAAACTCTATCGACCTTCCCAAACGAGTCGGCCATTTTGCGGCGTTCTAATAGACTTAAGCTAGAAAACAGATATCACGTGGGTCATTCAATGGTGCAACGTGGACTCCGCTCCACTTTGTGATAAATCGAATTAGCTTTATTATATTCATCTTCTGTTTTCCGCCTAACTACAACCGTCACTCTATTTTCACCGTCCTTTACCCCATTTCATTTCTTCACTAAGCTTGCTCCTTCATACAAGTCGTCCTTAGTGCGATCCTGATGGCGCAGTGAACGGCGTACAGTTGAGAACTTCGGTTATAGTGTTACGATAGTCGATTTAACTATAAGTATTGTGTCAAAAGTCAGGTTTCCTCGACAAGCTGCACCCTTAGATGTATAAACTTGCGTGACTATGAAAAACACGATTTGAAGGCTGGCGCCACATCAAACGTCTTTATTGAGAAGGTTTCCTTACTGAAAAAAAATCATGTCAACGTTACATGAAATCATGTAATTAAAACATCACGTATAAGTCACGTAACGGATTGTTCCAAATCAATATGTGATTTTTTTAAAAATCACGTAATTTGAAAAATTACATGATTGACAAAAATAATTTCATCTATGTGATTTTATAGTTACCGAATTTTTAAGAATTGAATGAAATAGAAGAAAAAAGAATTTATCATCGTGTGATTTCATCATGCAACTGCGTGACGTGATTTTTTTCAGTAAAGTCAACTAAAAATGCGAGGAAGTATAAGAGTGCACAATTTTCTACTAAATGATTTTTTTGACACTTAAATTGTCGCATATAGGAGTAATTCATTTCCAGGCAAACGATTAATCCGCAACAACACCGCTGGATTCTGTTGTAGGAGACAAACGGCGGAGGAAAGAGAAGCCGAGAGACAAGCTGCGAATCGGCTGATGCTATCCCTGCAAGCCGAGGCCCTCGGTAAGGTGGCATACCCGACGTCAGTGTCTGGACACCCGGGCAGCGCTCCGGTGTCCAGTTTGGACAGGCAGCAAGCATCGACGACGACTCTGACCCATCCAGTCGGCCAATGGGCCTCCCCTTACGGTCCACCGCAGCCTCTAGCCGAGCCGATTTGCTGAAGTGCGACGACGATCCGAGAGACTCTCGTCAAGTGAATCGTCGTCTTATCCTCCTCGTTCCTCTCTGCGTCTAGAATCAGAAGTCGGATCTTTTGTTTTTTCTTCATCTTTAAATTTATTTTACGATAAATATATTGTATCGAGAAAATACTCATTCATCCACTTATCATGAATCATGAAATAATAACAGCAGAGAATAATTTTTTTTTTTTTTTTTTTTTATAAGAATATTTACGGATTGTAGGCTATTAGCATCGCCTTCCTTCTGCCTTACGATATTCAGGCGACCACCAAACACGAACGTCCTAAAGAGCACCGCGAAATCGATTGTACATTGCCTTACAACATCACATACTCGGAGCTGTATCACTTATTAGCCACGGCTCGAGATTTTGCCATATATAATTGTCACGGTTTGAGCAGTTAACTAGCGCGGTACGATCGCGCGCGAGGCGCGATAATCGTCGTGAATTTATCATGTACGAACAATCGGGTCGCATTAAAAGCGTACGTTTCTTCTCTCGAAGCGAGGATTATCGCAATTAGCCTCGATTGACGCGACATTATCGACATGTACGTGTCTCGACCCGACGAAATAGAGTCGCGGAGATGAGTGCCCCTCCGAAACGTTTATTTCTAGATCGCGAACGGGCCGGACGTTCGATAATGTCTCCTCATGCTGAGTGACTCAACTTTTCCTAAAGAGAAGCTGTACGTTTTCCCGCGTTATGCATTCGTCGAGAAATCATCGATCGCACAAGTGAAGTCGCAACAAAGTCCAAGATCCATATTCACATTCTCATTTAACGTCGCAATTAAGAAATAACCGGGTTTTAAATTTTACATTATAAACACATCAGTGAATGACTTGATTGGAAAATATGACTGCTAAGGAATGCGATTTTCAACTTTCTTTCGTCGAATTAAAGTATTTTTTTATTAGATGTGAATGCGGATTTAACGGAACAGCTGACGTGACATATCCGTGTACATACTAGACGCCATAGTTGTAATTAGACATATACTTGTACGATATATGAAATACTTGTATACGCAGAAGCGCTGTCGTGTCAACATACCGACAGCGTGTGTTCTCTTTGATTGTTAGATACGTCCTGTATATATATATATATATATTATTTCATTACTGCGACGCAGCAGAATGCAATCAAGATTATATATCCCGGAATATTATTATTATATATATATATATACATATATATATATATATATATATATACATTGCTAAAAAAATAAACCATACATACCGTACACTACGATCGTCGTCGTCATCGTCGTCGTCGTATAATTAGGTATGTTTTAAGTTCGGTAATTATTATTATAGTGAACGATGTGATGTTATGTAAGTACATGTAACGTTGTATATACGAGAAAACAATTGAAATGCATATAAAATGATTTAACTGCTACTCGTTCCTCGCTATCTAACCATACATCCTTGCCAAGAATCCGACTGTGCCGACAGGTTGCGTGGGAAGAGCACGGAATTACAGCAGAAACAATTAGCAACAACGTCAGTAATAATTTCATTAACTTAATAAGCAACGATCCGTTCTGTGATCTGTGGATAATTAAAGATTTTAATGTTTCCTTTACACAGGTATCTCGAACGTTATCGCGTTGATTGTAATGGACTTTATTTGACGTAAAAGCGATTGTGTCTAAAGCTTAAAAATATAAAAAAAAGACGGAATAATTCAACTCTCGATTAATAATTTAATGAACTTCACGGCGCAAGTAATTTCTTTTCGTTATATTTCACAGCATACTGATTAGCGTGTGTCTTTATAGAGGAAGATTTTTATAATATAAGAATATAAGAATATGATTTGTCTTAATCGTACAAAACATTTCTATCGCTTTTAGAAAATTTATTATATAGAAGTAATTATAAATTACTATAGAAAAATTAAAAAAAGATTATTTAATCCGAACAAACTAATATTATAGTAAAAATACAATATTTTATTTGCAATATTTTATTTGATAATTTTTAATATCTTAAAATTATCAAAATATTTTTAAACGCAAACATATGATTTTATATATAAACCAATAAATTTTTATAATAATATTCTTTTATTCAAGAAAATATTAAAAAATAAAGTAATAACGTAAAAAGTCAATAATTTCCGAGACATTTCATACCTCATTTAAATGTATTCTATACATCAAATAGATAGAACATTTAGTAAAATATATTTTTACTACAATTTTATCGTAATTATATGAAGAAATGAGTTTTAATACTGCTATTTATGCAAATACAGCAAAACATCTGGAATGTGCAATTACTTTTTCTTTTACATCAATTGATTATCTCATTATTGTAAACAATGTCACTCTGCAGCTACTCCAACGTGAAATGTAATGGAAATCTCATAGAACGTAATCATATCTTTTGATATATTTATCTTAATATTTTTATAGAATGATAAGTTATAATCATTTGATAATCCTACATCGACATAGACCTTCATACAGACTCAGACATGCATCTGGAATCTGTTGTGTTCTTGTTAAACGCAATTATATGTTTTCTTCCACATCAATCGATTCATCTCATTATTTTGTATAATGTCATTTGTACGCGTGCATTTTGCAGCAAATACGCGGAACGAGGTATAACGTTTCATTTTCTTCGATGAAATCGGTATACTTTGCAAATTGCGCCGTTTAAGAAATACGAGGAAGGCATCGGAACGGGTTGTCGTAACGAGAACTCATTACTTCGTGTCAGTGCGCCGCGTAATGCCTATATCTTCTTTGGAAACTTGATTTCCGTTATTTTTCTGTCCAAACGACTACCTTGTCACACGATCATAATATTTTGATCTTTCGTATCCGTGTAAAAGGCGAATAGCAGCAAGTTTTCCTATTCCTTTTTTTCCTCCTCTTTCTGTCACACTTCTTTCCCCTAACAACGTCCATCAAAGACGCGAGTCCTTTTTCTCCGATCGCCTTAATCGGTGTCTTTTCTCATGGAATTATCCCGCTTCACCTAGAGCTCCCTGTACCGGATGTGGCTACGTTTACTGCCTATAATTGCAGAGGAGATACCGCGCGCCGTCCCGCCCAATTATTTGGAGACAAATACCCTCCGCCACCGGGAACGAAGGTCCCAAACACTTCGTGTAGGACTCTCCGATCACAACGAATCTGTGTGATATGTGATTTCAAAATGCTTCCAAAATTGTATTATTATTGATTTATTTAAGATATCTAATATCTTGAAAATATACCGAAATAATATTATTTAACTTTCAAAAAAATTTAATTTAATTAAAATGGAGTAAAAAATGCTCGTATATTTTCTTAAAAATTAACACAACGTCATGGCTTATTTCGAGCTATAATTAAAGTGCTACAACGCAGAGATACAATCTTAAATTAACGAATAAAGAATAACGAATACAACGAAAACCATAAATGGTGAAGTGTCATAGTAAGCACTGAAAAAGGCTTTGTAAGCCGAAACGTTTATTAATTATATTAATTTTAAGTTAATTTAATTATAGCTCAAAATAAGACATTGTGTTACATGAGACATGTAAGACATGACATTGTGTTAATTTTTAATTTAATTAATTTAATTTAATTTAATTTTAATTTAGTTTATTTTTCATATAGCTTTGCAATAAACTAAATTAAAGTGAAATGAAATTTAATTAAATTAATTAAATTAAATTAAAATGTCGCTCTCTGACTCTGTACGAATATTATTGTTTAAAAAATTATTAATAATATTGAACATTGAAAAAGATATCATTACGTTATTTTATATAATGATAGGAATTAACGTACTTATCGGTCACAATTGATCACAGATGAATAATTGAATCTTTATGTCCCAGACAACATGCGTGTCCAAAATCAGGACATAAGATCTCTTAAAAACGTCTGAAGGACGATTTAGACTTTTTTTTTCAAACAGATCTTTACAACGTTTTCTGTCTCAATTTTGGACTTTGTGTTATTTGAGATAAAGATTCAATTATTCACCTATGATCAATCGTAATTTATCTATATTTTATCTAAGGATATGACAAATTAAAATAATGACTTTCAAACATATATAGACCAATATGTATGTGTTCCTAAAAGAGCACACTTGACGGAAGTATCTCAAACGTTTCCGCCGTTTAGCACAGAAATCTGCTGAGTGAACCGTTTCCGACAGGTATACCCCGAACAGGTACAACACCATCGGCGCGTCATCGGCGCCCTGTAATCTTGTCTTTCTAGCAGAGACCTTTTCCTGCGGTATTTCTAGTTTTTAACGTAGACACCGCATCGGTGGTGGGCCGGAGACGAAAGGGGAGACAACCAATTACGAAGACTCCAAGTATCAAGATGTCCAAGCGGCTCTATTGAATCCCATACCCGAAACTCCACACGTCGCCAACGAGTCGTTGACCGCGACGTTGAAAAAAAGAAAAAGAGTCAGAATGAAAAATTAAAATTACGAAAAGTTCAATTTAAAAGTATTACTATTTGATGTACGCATTCGCGCGTATGACTGTTAACATTGATGTGTAAAACGCTCTTTTCTCAAGTAAAATCGTGTCGGTAATAGGGAGTTTTGCAAAATGTGAATCTAGATACGGTGAACGCTAAAGTCACGTTATCCTTTTCTTCAATTTTAAGTTAAGAAGAATCAAACCTTAGCGTTCATCGTATTTGAATAAATGATATTGCAAAAACTTCCTTATGACATAGAAAAAGTACTCGGAGCAATTTCTACTCCATTCTGCGGAAAATCTTCGAAAAATTTGAAAATACACTTCTCTCTCTCTCTCTTTGTTTCTACTGATTAACTCGCAGGAACAAACATCTTCATCATTTAACATCGCTTTACATTACGCTAACGAAGTGTATTCGGTCGTTCCGTCACGGATAAAACGTGTAAATAATACCGTTTTTCGAGAAAATTGTAAGTCCCAAGTGCCGGCGCGCGGATTACCGTATAATCTCGCGAG